GTACAATGTGAATGTCATTCTTTCAGCAGGTCATGAAAATTCCATTTATTGTTATGAACATTATGCTATAATTTTGAAGCTTAACAACATGCCAGCCCTCAACTATTATGCAGGTCAATACTTTGCATGCATTGTCTCTCTCTCATTGGAAATTATTCAGCTCACTCTAGAAGATGCCAATCATCTTTGTGTTTAATATTTTATCACTGAATCAAGCAAGGTCCCCCAAAGGGCTATTAACACTGACTGACTAACAGAAGCACATCTGCTGGGGTATGCTGGGAAACTACCTTTGATAAGTGCCACATTGAAGCAACAAAACAACAACTGGATCAGTCCAGTAATGTCATCACATTGATGGGTGACTGAGTCCATTTTTAAGCTTGTTATATTGATAAAATTCAGAAACTGATCTCATATCAGAATGGGAAATTCACCTTGACTATTATTCACATCTCAATATCTGTGAATTCAACTCCATATCTGGCTGACAGATTTAACCCTTAATCCATTTGAAATAATGAGGCACATTCCGTGGATCTGGGTGGTGTTAAGAACAGTTTCAGAAAGTTAATCTGATGAAATCTACTCTTATGCGAGAGAGCTGTGTGGCAGGACTAGTTCTTGGCACCCTGTGTAGAATCGAAACAGGATGTGAAAGCTCAATCAGAATCTAAATTGTGCAAGAGAAAGAGAACTGATTTGTTCTGTTCTCTGATTTTCAGGGGCCGATGTTTTGATGGGAAAGAGGAAGAGGCAATGGAGGGTAAGGGAAATGGGCAGCACGTCCATAATGAAGTGGAGAATATTTTATGTTTGTTGCTTGCAAAGACCAAATACATCATTGTGAATCTGTATTTGTTTATCTAAAGTAATTTTTGAGATTTCCCGAAATTTCCTGATGCTAATATGACTTTGCTATGGAGTGGCTGGTTATCTATGTGTATTCCAGTCTAGCTGTTGCCAGAGCAACGAATGACCGTGACATCATGCAATTATTCCCCCCTCCCCACTTCTTATTTCTTTTTTTCATATTTGGCACATGTGAAATAGATGTGAATCATAGTAAATAGGGGAAAATGTCTAGTGAATTATATACAGGATATGTGATAAAATGAATAATGTTAACCCAAATCATTATTGAATTGTTAAATTTTGAAGGTGAATTTGATTTGAATAACAAGAAGAGTAATTTACTGAATTGAAATTATTGTAATTCAAAGAAAATCAAAGTAATGCATTCAAGGAAATTAATTCTCTGAAAAGCTTTTAAACCTCCAAACTAAAGGCTTTGTTTGAAATTCAGTACTTCATTACATTCAAATTCAAATTACAATTCTGCAGTTGTGAATGGCACACAGCCATGTTTGTTGTTTGACGTGAAGCTGTTGACAGAATCCATTACATGGCTTTTTGTTTATGAATTGATAGTTATGCTAATAGGATTTCTTTCAATTGTTCTGCTTTTTGAATTTGTATTTTGTCTTTCTCTGTGAGGTCATTGTTCCTGATATAAACATCAAAAAAATGGCTACAGACTTTTTACCTTTGCACAGGCTCTCATTTTTCTGTTCATAATAATTCACCGGAATCCTGAGGAGCACCTGAAAACATATAAAACACTTCTACAGGCGTTTACAATCCACCTGAGAGCCCCTGACTGGGTAGAGCGGATGTGTCATGTTCTCCTGCCTCTGCTTTACAAGGGAACAGTTTGTTTCAGCCAGGTGGAGGTCAGAGATTATTGCATCAGTTCGGTAAAACACGAGCTCATAAGTGAATAAATGAGTCTGATGAGTGAAATAAAAGAAGATTGCAGACCCAAAAGCACCACCCGTCTAGAGGGAATTCCAGAAGCAGCTGCTTGGATTGGCCAGTCTGCTTCATTACTGTAATTATTTCCCCTCAAGACCTGAAGACCTGAGGATTTTCGACACAGAGAGAGAGAAGGGGCAAACAAAGATTTGGCCTATTTTAGGACTGCTTTCATAAAGCAAACAGCACTGCCATCATGCCTTCCTGGAGTCTATCCAGTCTATTTCCCGCAAGGAGACCGACATGACAGCACAAAAAAAAAAAAAGCCCGGTTGCTGGACATGGCCGGTAAACAAACCTGCTCGGGGGGGTGCGTTCCTTGCCCGGCACCTGCCACTATTACTGGAGAGCAGGTGCAACTGTGTTCATTAAGATACACATCAGGACACAGAAGTCCTTAAGAGCCGGTTGGGGGCACATTTTGCAAGGCTGCCTTGCAAACACGACATAGCATCAAGGTGAGTGAAGTAATTTCAGCTTGAATAATGGGGGGCGTCTCGTGAGCCTGACAGACATGTGCGGCGAAAGCAATTTCATAGCATCTCTCCGTCGCTGTTCGTGTGATCTATTCGTGGTGTTCACCAACACCGTGGTCAATATGACAGACACCGGTGGTTCGGGCCTGATAAGGCAGCCTGAAAGAACATGGCTTGGGTGCTGCACGTGCGTCTGTCAACCACGGTTCCTTAAGAGACAACGGGCATTCAGAAAGGTCAGAAAAATAGATGACATCAGCTTACCGTAGCAGATGTTTTTGGATAAAGTGCAGCAGTGCTACTATGTATGTCATTTTAAAGGCATTTGCTTTAAATTCGGCTATATTAGGTGATATGACAAGCGTCTGATCCCACAGGAACCAGTAGAAAAATAATTAGGACATGGTAAACATGATGGCGGTGTTGGACAACACGCAGTCGCACAGTTAGATGCACACACGCCCATCTTAAACACATAGTAGCGTAGAGAATGATGGCTAACTCTTCCCTGGGCTTCTGTAACAACATATGTTTGTAAGTAATTAAAAGAAGTTCCCAAGTGGTTACTATGTCATATTGAAATACAATATGGTGAGCAAATTACCTTTCCACAGCAGTTTATGCAAAGTTAGACACAGGAGACCGCTTTGCCTCTCCCTGCTGCCACATGGAGGGATTGGCAAAGACCATCTTCTGCTCTATTGATGTATTGACTTCTAATTAGTCTGTCAGGAGCTGTACCTTTTAAGAGTATGGGAATAATTGATGATGTCTTACCTAGCAAAATTAGGAAAGCGAGAAACATTTCATATTTCATCAAGTCTAAATAAGGGGAGGTGTCTAAATAATATGCAGTGTTGGTTTGAAATATTCATATCTAAGCTATAGAATTGTGATGCCCGGAGCTGCAATAGTTGCACATTCAGGTTTCCTTGTTGATGTCAGCACTTGAGGCATAGTGTGTGTGTAAAACACACACACACACACACACACACACACACACACACATAAACTCTGTATAGCTATCTTTGTGGGGATATACATTGACACAATGCAATCTCTAGCTCCTTACCCTAAACCTACCCATCAGAACTAAGTGCCTCACCCAAACCCTTACCCTAAACCTAACCTTTACCCAATTATAACCTGACCCCTAAAACCAAGTCTTGACCCTCAAACAGGCCTTTAAAGGGCTCTCAGAAAGTGAGGACCGGCAAAAATGTCCTCACTTTACAAGATTGTCCTCACTCCGATGGTCTAAAACTCAAACTGGCCCTCACAAAGATAGCTGTACAAGTGCACACACACACACACACACACACACACACTC